AGCAATGGGCCACATATACAACCATAGTCTGGTAAAATTATAATGGAGCTGGAAAATACCTATCGTCTAATGATTTGTGTTACAATTGCCTATAGGATTCGGTACAGCAACATGTTGTACAGGTTTGTAGCCTAGGAGCCATAGGCTATACCACACAGCCTAGGTGTGGAGTAGGCTATACCATCTAGGTTTGTGTAAGTACACTTTATGATGTTTGCACAAAGATGAAGTTGCCTAATGATGCATTTCTTAGAATATATCCCTGTTGCTGAGCAATGCACAACTGTGTGTGTAAAATGACTACATCTCAGAGACCAATACAGTAATGGAACTCTCTTAAAGAAAAATCTACAAGGAAGCACTTGATCCTAGTAGTGATCCTAGGCTGCATTAGAGGTATACTGTAGCACAAATTAATACCAGATCCCAGTAGAAGTCCTCAACTAATTCTAGGCATAGAGCATCTTTCTCACGCTTTGCTTGCTTTCTTTCCTGCTTTTTTTTTTTTTTTTTGGAGATGGAGTCTTGCTCTGTTGCCCAGGCTGGAGTGCAGTGGTGGAATCATGGCTTACTGCAGCCTTGACCTCCCAGGCTCAAGGGATTTTCTCACCTTAGCCTCCTGAACAGCTGAGACTACAGGTGCATGCCATCATACCCAGCTAATATTTAAAAAATTTTTGTAGAGATAGGTTCTTAACTATGTTGTCTGGGCTGGTCTTCAAGGGATCCTACTGCCTTGACCTCCCAGTGTTGGGATTACAGGCGTGAGCCCTGTTTTCTGAAATATTTTCTTTTTTTCTTTTTTGAGATGGAGTTTTGCTCTTGTTGTCCATGCTGGAGTGCAATGGCACAATCTTGGCTCACTGCAATCTCCACTTCCCAGGTACAAGCGATTCTCTTGCCTCAGTCTCCCTAATAGTTGGGATTACAGGTGCACACTACCACACCTAGCTAATTTTTTGTATTTTTGGTAGAGATGGGATTTCACAATGTTGGCCAGGCTGGTCTCGAACTCCTGACCTCAGGCGATCCACCCGCCTCCGCCTCCCAAAGTGCTGGGATTATAGGCGTGAGCCACTGAGCCTGGCTTGAAATACATTTTCTTTTCTTTTTTTTCTTTTTTGAGATGGAGTCTCACTCCATTGCCCAGGCTGGAGTGCAATGGCATGATCTTGGCTCACTGCAACCTCCACTTCCTGGGTTCAAGCAATCCTCCTGCCTCAGCCTCCTGAATAGCTGGGACTACAGGTGCCTGCCACCATGCCTGGCTAATTTTTGTATTGAAATACATTTTCATAAGTTGTTAGGGTAATGGTTGTCAGTTTTTAGATTGTTTCTCCACAAAGGCCCAGTTCACCTTTTGCTGGCTTTTTTACTCTCTGCTGGCTTTCTTTCCTGCCTGTTTTTTGTTTTAATTCTACCTAAATATTCTGGTCTAAGCTCTGAACTGTGAACTACTGTTTTCAACCATAGGTAGAAATATAATGACCACAATTTTAACTTATAAAGTTAATGGTATTTCATTCCCTCCAAAATAAAAAACAACTAGAAATCAACTGCCAATTTTCTCCACTTGGGAAGCTGCTGCCCTCTAGAGGTAATATGGAGATGTTGGGGGCACTTTCCCGTTGTCAGCAGGACTGACAGCAGAGGGAATTCCTACTGCATTTAGTGTCTGGGATAAGAGATAACAGAAATACTGAAATGCAGGTTTTTTTTTTTTTTTTTTTGGATGGAGTCTGATCTCGGCACACTGCAACTACTGCCTCCCAGGTTCAAGCGATTCTCCTGCCCCCGTCTCCAGAGTGGCTGGGATTACAGGCAACTACCGCCACACCTGGCTGATTTTTATATTTTTAATAAAGATGGGGTCTCACCATGTTGGCCAGGGTGGTCTCGAACTCCTGACCTCAGGTTATCCGCCCCCTCCGCCTCCCAAAGTGCTGGGATTACAGGCGTGAGCCACCTCACCCGGCTCAAATGCAGTTTTATACATAAAGAACCACTTTCCCCAAGACACCAATAATACTCAACTTGAAACACTATAAAAGGTCTACAACATTACAAGTTGCATCTTAAAAAAATTCTCCATTATATTTAGTCTAAGAGGACTTAGAAGAGGGGTGAGGAGTGGGAGAAGGCAGAAAAGTATGGAATACATGGGGGCTCCCATATGCTGGGAGAGAACATGGGCCCTATCAGGAATTTCATGGCTCTAAACTGCCTTTCAGCCTACCTTATCTCACCAGCATTTATTTCAACATTAGGATCTGGGACTTGACTTGCCAGTTGTTCATGACACACAGCTGTAGTACTACTTACTCAGCTAAGAATAATAAAAGGTGTAGACTTTCTTTTTTCCTTTTTTTAGACAGGGTCTCGCTCTGTTGCCCAGGCTAGAGTGCAGTAGTGTAATCATAGCTCACTGCAGCCTCTATCTCCTGGGCTCAAGTGATCCTCCGGACTCAGCCCCCTCTCGTAGCTGAGACTACAGGTGCGTAGCACCATTCCTGGCTAATATTTTTGGTTTTTAGTAGATAGGTCTTGCTGTGTTGCCCAGTCTGGTCTTGAACTCCTGAGCTCAAGCGATCCTCCTTCCTTGGCATCCCGAAATGTTGGGATTACAGGCATGAGCCATTGCGCCTGACCTGTAAAGACTTCTGATCGATGTGATGTTATTCAGTCATATAAAGACAAAGTGTACCTACAACAGTTAAAGTGCTCTCTCAGTTGCAGAACAGACCTCACTTGCTAGAAAGATATAGCTTTTTTAAAATCTTTATTTATTTTGAGATGGAGTTTTGCTCTTGTTGCCCATTCTGAGTGCAATTGGGAAGTCTCTGTTCACTGCAACCTCCGCCTCCTGGGTTCAAACGATTCTCCTGCCTCAGCCTCCCAAGTAGCTGGGATTACAGATGCCTGCCACCACACCCAGCTAATTTTTGTATTTTCAGTAGAGATGGGGTTTCACTGTGTTGGCCAGGCTGGTCTCAAATTCCTAACCTCAGGTGAACCACCTGTCTCGGCCTCCCAAAGTGCTGGGATTATAGGTAAGAGCCACTGTGCCCAGCCTATTTATTTTTTTTGAGATGGAGTTCTGTTGCCCAGGCTGGAGTGCAGTGGTTTGATCTCAGCTCACTGCAACCTCCACCTCCCTGGTTCATGCAATTCTCCTTCCTCAGCCTCCTGGATGGCTGGGATTATAGGCACCCACCACCATGACCAGCTAATTTTTGTAGTTTTAGCCAAGATGGGGTTTCACCATGTTGTCCAAGTCAGTCTCAAACTCCTGACCTCAGGTGATTCCACCTGCCTTGGACTTCCAGAGTGCTGGGATTACAGGTGTGAGCCACTGCACCCGGCCTATAATTCATTTTACTATTCTTATTCTTATTTATTTTTGAGATGGAATTTTGGTCTTGTCGCCCTGGCTGGGGTGCAATGGCATGATCTCAGCTCACTGCAACCTCCGCTTCCCAGGTTCAAGCAATTCTCCTGACTCAGCCTCCTGAGTAGCTGGGATTATACATATGTGCCATCACGCCTGGCTAATTTTGTATTTTTGGTAGAGATGGGGTTTCTCCATGTTGGTCAGGCTGATCTTCAACTACCGACCTCTGGTGATCTGCCTGCCTCAGCCTCCCAAAGTGCTGGGATTACAGGCGTGAGCCACCGCACCTGACTATTTTAAAAAATATAGTAGAGATGGGGGTCTCACTATGTTGCCCAGGCTGGTCTTGAACTTCTGGCTGCAAGCAATCCTCCTGCCGTGGCCTCCAAAAGTGCTGAGATTACAGGTGTGAGTCACTACATCTGGCCTTGAATCCTTTTTTAAGATTTTCAGGCATTGCCAAATTGTGTAAAGTAAATTTCTACTTGTTCTCTAGTATCCATTCTGTCCATTTTTCCTTAATAAAAACCCCAAATGGTCCCCATTTCCTCCTACATTTCCCAGCCTACTTATGGGTCAAGTCACACGACTTGACCTATGGACTGTGTAAACTGATGTGTGCAACATTCAGTTTTTCCTCCCTTCTTTTAAATGGAGAAGGTGCTTGCTCTCCCTGCTTTCCCCCTTTTCATCCTTGTTGGAAAGGATGACAACTTGGGCAACCACCTTAGACCTACAGATGGCCATGGAATGTTCCACCAGCTGGATCCTTGGAGCAGAGCCACCTACTCACTTCTATCTTATTTAAGCCAACGTATTTTGCAGAAATTATTTTCCTGCCATTTTTTCATATGCTGACTGCTAACTCCAAATAAGAGAAATGACACCCTGGGCCAGGCTTGGTGGCTCACATCTGTAATCCCAGCACTTTGGGAGGCCAAGGCTGGTAGATCATGAGGTCAGGAGTTCAAGACCAGCCTGGGCAATATAGTGAGACCCCATCTCTACTATATTTTTTAAAATAGCCGGGTGTGGTGGCTCATACCTGTAATGATAAAATGGTGAAACCCGTCTCTACTAAAAATACAAAAATTAGCCAGGCATGGTGGTGGGCACCTGTAATCCCAGCTACTTGGGAGGCTGAGGCAAAGAACTGCCTGAATCCAGGAAGCAGAGGTTGCAGTGAGCCAAGATCATGCCATTGCATTCCAGACCCGGTGACAGAGTGAGATTCCGTCTCAAAAAAAGAAATGACATCCGGTCTCAAGATAAAAAACAGTAATAAGGTGGGACATGGTGGCTCATGCCTGTAATCCCAGAACTTTGGGAGCCTGAGGTGGGTGATCACTTGAGGCCAGGAGTTCAAGACCAGCCTCGCCAACATGGCAAGACCTTGTCTCTACTAAAAATACAAAAATTAGCCAGGTGTAGTGCCATATACTTGTAATCCCAGCTACTCAGGAGGCTGAGGCATGAGAATCACTTGAACCAGGAGGTGGGGGTTGCAGTAAGCTGAGATCACACTATTGTACTTCAGCCTGGGCAACAGAGCAAGACCCTGTCTCAAAAAAAAAAAAAAAAAAAAAAAAAGAAAGGAAAAAAAAGGATGAGAGTGGAAGTTTTATTTATGTTTAATACAATTTCAGTGTCTATTGTTATGTTCAATACAGTTAATACCTGGAGTGAACAAGGTTGGTCTTACACAGCTCTCTGTCCTTTCTTCTTCTGCAGGTTGTATACAAGGGAAGGAGGCTTCTTGGTTTTATAGGCCACACTTTTCTTGATGCGCTTTCCTTTGACATTAACGATATATGGCAAGAGAGGAGGCCGGATGGTTAAAACTGTTCCTTCAGGTGTATAGGCCCGGAGATGCAGTCTGTCCTTAACGTTAGGTGTTACTGCAACCCAACCTATGCAGGCATGTGACACAACACAAAACGCTGTTAGCAATTATCTTATTCAAAATACAAAACCAAAGCTGAAAATGGAACACCAGAGAAGGCTGTCACTCTCTTATTATTTTATTCTTATTTTTTAAGAAACTGTGTCTTGCTATGTTACCCAGGCTGAGGTCAAGTTCCTGGATTCAAGCAATCCTCCTGCCTCAGCCTCCTGAGAAGCTGGGGGCACGGGTGGGCACACCTTATTTTAATGAAAGCATACAATATGTTTGTGAAAAGTACAAATTTATTTTCAGAATAGGCTGTATTTTATGAATAAACTAGTAGGTATATCTTAAAAAATCAGTTTTCATCAGTTAAGGCACTTTTCTATAAAAAATATTGTCAGTAAGACTGCTTTATTCACTTTTTAAAAAGTGCTTGGCATCAAATTACCTGCAGAGGAAAACTTGATGTCAGCCACTGCTTCAGATTCCCCCAGTCCTCCTTTTAATGTAATGTCTTCAGCAACAAGAGGAGGAAACCCTGCCATTCGTTCTTTTCCACCCATTGGAACCTTCCAATGAAATAAAGATATTTAGAAGTTAAAATTAAATTTCTTGGAACTCTAACATTAAGTAAATCACTGATAAGGTAATTCTGTACAGGGATCAAAAAAAGCAAGGGAACTCTGTGAAGGGATGAAGCCTACAAATCTCAGGGCCCTGGGCCACAGTGGGCAAGCACCTGGCAGCAGCTTCTGGACAGAACTGTGCTTCACTGACACTGTTTTAGAGCTCTCCACAGGGCTTCACATAGATTAATGTTGGGCAATGAAGGCATGGTCCTTCCAAGTACCTTAGTTCTTGTAGGTGTGGACATGAAGATTAATGCCTGGTCTTTATGGGTTAAGGGTCCATGTGAAATGGGTAAGATTTAGCTTCTATGTTTACAGATGTTTCCATGAATTAGAAATACCTGGATATATTTATTGTTTTCTTCCCCCCCTCTCGTCCAGGATCATCATTAACGATGAGGACATATTTATATATACATATTTTTTGAGATGAAGTTTCCCTCTTGTTGCCCAAGCTGGAGTGCAATGGTGTGATCTTGGCTCACTGCAACCTGTACCTCCTGGGTTGAAGCGATCCTCCTGCCTTAGCCTCCTGAGTAACTGGGATTACAGGTATGCGCCATGACACCAGGCTAATTTTTTGTATTTTTAGTAGAAATGGGGTTTCACTGTGTTAGCCAGGCTGGTCTTTTTTTTTTTTTTTTTTTTTTTTGAGAGGGAGGGGCATTCTTTTTACCCAGGCTGGAGTGCAATGGCACGATCTCGGCTCACCGCAACCTCCGCCTCCTGGGTTCAGGCAATTCTCCTGCCTCAGCCTCCTGAGTAGCTGGGATTACAGGCACGCGCCACCATGCCCAGCTAATTTTTTGTAGTTTTTAGTAGAGACGGGGTTTCACCATGTTGACCAGGATGGTCTCGATCTCTTGACCTCGTGATCCACCCGCCTCGGCCTCCCGAAGTGCTGGGATTACAGGCGTGAGCCACCGCACCCGGCCCCAGGCTGGTCTTGAGCTCCTGACCTCAGGTGATCTGCCTGCCTCTGCCTTCCAAAGTGCCGGGATTATAGGTGTGAGCCACTGTTCCTGGCCGTGACTAGATAATTTATTCATATTCATTAGCAAATCTCTCCTGTGTTTAGCACTAAGGATACAAAGATAGATTTTGCAGTACGGTTCCTGCCCCCAAGAATATCAAAGGGGCAAATAATATGTAAGCAAATACAAGGTCAGAAATGTACTGTGAGGTGTCTATAAGTACTATGGCTGTGAAGGAAGGAGTAATGAATGTGTTCAGTCAAGGAAAACATCAGTAAAGAAGCAATATATATATAAACAAACTACAGCAACAATAAAAACAAAGCAATATATGTGCAGTATTCTGAGAAATAAATCAGTTATTTGGTGGAAAGATATTCGGTCACCACAGGTACAGACAAAAACTGGAAAAAGGATGATGAGTTCAGGGAACGGTAGCTTAATTGTCCAAAGTATTGGGGTGTGTGTGTGTGTGTGTATATTAGTGATGACCCTGTAATACAACTTTCTGCAACAACATCAGTACTAGGCACTCAAAATGTGTCTGGTGCCACTAAGCAACCATATTTAAAATTTTACTTTTCTTTGTTAAGAGACAGGGCTTCACTCTGTCACCCAGGCTACAGTGCAGCGGCATAATCATGGCTCATCACAGCTTTATACTCCTGGGCTCAAGTGATCCTCCTGCCTCAACCTCCTGAGGAGCTGGGACTACAGGTGCATGCCACCATACTTGGCCAACTTGAGCAAATTTTTTTTTTTTTTGAGACGAAATCTTGCTCTGCTCCAAGGTTGGAGCGCAGTAGCACACTCTTGGCTCACTGCAACCTCTGCCTCCTGGGTTGCAATTATCTGCCTCAGCCTCCTGAATAGCTGGGATTACAGGTGTGCGCCACCACACCCAGCTAACTTCTGTATTTTTAGTAGAGACAGGGTTTCACCATCTTGGCCAGGCTGGCCTTGAACTCCTGACCTTGTGATCCACCTGCCTTGGCCTCCCAAAGTGCTGGGATTATAGGCATCAGCCTCCATGCCTGGCCTAACTTCAGCAAATTTTAATTGTAACTAATATATTTAAATTTATATAGCCACATGTGGCTAATGGCTACCAAATTGGACAGTGTAGTCTAGAGAAAAAACAGCTGTGTGGCTAGTCTAGGATCAGTCTATAAGAGCAATCTCGCTTTATAGCCATAATTCTCAAAGAGAATAAGGTGAGGAGAAAGTCAGCTCAAGTTATCATATAACAGTTCTATCCAACAAAGGCTTTCTTAACAGAGCTATGGGACCATCCCAGTGTGTACTAACCATAACCATGGAATCATCAAGGCGTGTTGCCTTACCTGGAGTAACGTATGACCCGCATGCTTCTCATACAGAGCATCTGCCTTGTCCAAGGAGGTGATATGCACAGGGAGGAAGTTGGAAGCCACAACTGTAAACCAAGCTGACTGATTTCCCTAATAAAGGAGGAAGCTATTTTACCTGGTGAAAAACTAGGAAAACCTGCATATTACAAGGTACAATCAATTATCAAAAAAACAAAAAACAAACAAAAACCCAATCAGACTCCCTTTATAAGCACCGGTATGGCAGTAGCTGTAAATCAAATTATACTAAGAACAGAGACACAATACCAAAGCAGTGCATTTTAGCAATTCCTGTGAAACTATGACTTCTTTGACAGACTCAATACTATTTTTGAAAAACATGTCTATTATTAAATATAAAAAGGAAATATTGTCTGCTTTAATTGTTTCTGTGTAAAGTCAGGTTTCAAATACTAACATTTTATGGGCTCTAATGAAATATATAAGGTTTCAAGCCTGGTGTGGTGGCTCATGCCTGTAATCCCAGCACTTTGGAAGGCCAAGGTGGGTGAATCCCTTGAGCTCGAGTTTGAGACCAGTCTGGGCAACACGGCAAAACCCTGTCTTTATAAAAAATACAAAAATTAGCTGGGTGTGGTGATGCATGCCTATAGCCCCAGCTACTTGCAAGGCTGAGGTGGGAGGATCATTGAGCCCTGGAGGTTAAGGCTACAGTGAGCTGTGACTGTACCACTGCACTCTAGCCTGGGCAACAGAGTGAGACCCTGTCTCCAAAAAAAAAAAAAAAGAAAACCCCTAAAACAAAAAAACCAACAACCCCCCAAAATGAAATATATAAGGGTTCTAAGTATGTAAGGCAAAATTTCTAACAAAGTATGAGCAAACACAAAACCCAAGAAATGTGCTATAGTAATGGCCTGTAAGTTGTATTGTGTTGTTGAAAATATCTATGTTTCATTTTTCTTTTTTCTCTTCACTTTAGCAAAATGGAGAGCGATTTTACAGACACTCCAAAATCCCTAGATGCTATGTAAATGAATGCCAAACAAAATAGTATATGCATAAAAACATACATATCATGGGATACAAAGTGTGGAATTAATTTAATGCACATAACCCTGTACCTAAAGGTTTGACTTTGATTCCCATGTGAAATAAAACCATAGGATAGGGATAGTATCTTGTCTTAAATGGCAAGCTGTGTGGGGTACTCAATTGAAAACATGGTTTTTAAGACTTAGCACTTTTGTTGGGGCATGGGGGAAGAGGGCATTTCTTTTCCCCAAGTTTTTTTTTTTTTTTTTTAAATGGAGTCATGCTCTGTTACCCAGGCTGGAGTGCAGAGGTGCGATTTGTACTCACTGCAGCCTCCACCTCCCAGCTTCAAATGATCTTCCTGCCTCAGCCTCTCAAGTAGCTGGGATTACAAGCGTGTGCCACCATGCCTGGCTAATTTTTGTATTTTTAGTAGAGATGGGATTTCACCATGTTAACCAGGTTGGTTTTGAACTCCTGGCCTCAAGTGATGCACCTGCCTCAGCCTCCCACAGTGCTGCAATTACAGGTGTGAACCACCATCCCCAGCCATCCCCAAGTTTTTATCACAGAAATTTTTAAACATAAAAACAAATTAAACTCTATACAATCACAGCTTAGTTATCAACATTTTGTCAGTCTTGTTCATGTATCTGCTTCCATAAAGTGAATCTCAATATTTAAAAAATCATTTTTTAATGGTATGGACTTTACTTACCTGCAAGAAATCTATGCGGCCTATAGCACCCAAAAACAGAACCATTCCTGGTTTAAGCACAAAGGTTCTTGGAACAATGGACTGTGTTGGCAAAACAATATTTACCTCTTTGTCTGTCAGGAGATTTAAAATCTGTGAAGCAAATGGCAGAGTTTTTAAGAAAAATACTTTTATTGAAAATATGACTTACCTGTAAAATAAAAAGTGATGAAATATAGGCCAGACTTCAAAATAAATCAAATTATGTCAGAGTTTGCTACACATCAAATTTGTAGATTCTTCCTATCTAAATTGATCTTAATCTACCGATGGCTCTACCCTTGTTTTACAACTTAATCTATAGTAATGGCAATATAACTTTATAGGAGTATGAGACTTTCCTATGTCAGCAGCATCCCCTAAATGTCAAAATTAATGTGAACCTGAAAGCATGCTGATTCAATACCAAGATAGAAAATATACGCTCTCCAGGCCAGGTGCTGTGGCTCATGCCTGTAATCCCAGCACTTTGGGAGGTCGAGGCAAGCGGATCACCTCAGGTCAGGAGTTCGAGACCAGCCTGGCCAAGATGGCAAAACCCCATCTCTACTAAAAATACAAAAAAAATTAGCCGGGTGTGGTGGTGTTCGCCTGTAATCCCAGCTACTCGGGAGGCTGAGGCAGAGAATTGCTTGAACGCAGGAGGTGGAGGTTACAGTGAGCCAAGATCATGCCACTGCACTCCAGCCTGGGTGACAAAGCAAGACTCCATCTCAAATTTAAAAAAAAAAAAAAAAAAAAGGAAATATATGCTCTCCTTATCAAGGCTTGTGGGGAGGAGCAATTTCAGCTTAAAGGAATGGGTTATGTGACCTCATGTCCTAGTGGTAAGTACATATGCATTAAATGCAAATGGTTACTCCATTCTAGTGCAAGTAAAGTGGCTGAAGAACCTCTTTCTAAATTCTGGTCTTCAATTTCCTTATTTTCCCCAAATATTTAGCAGAGAATGAGAGCAAGTTATAAATCTCCTATGCTTATAACATTGAGGATTTATAATTTATCCCTATGATTTGTAATAAGTCCCTTTTACGGATGAAAAGTTCCTGAAGAGACTAGAGAAAAACAGAAAAGGAAAGACAGAAGTACAAGATTCTGAAGAGATTTAAGAAATCAAAATCTGGTTAAAAAAGAAGGTAAAAATCGGACAAAAATCTTGCAAACTTCTTTCTTAAGAATAACAAGGCCAGGTGCAGTGGCTCACACCTGTAATCCCAACACTTTGGGAGGGTGAGGCTGGTGGATCACCTGAGGTTGGGAGTTCAAGACCGGCATGACCAACATGGAGAAGCCCTGTCTCTACTAAAAATACAAAAATTAGCTGGGCGTGGTGGGGCATGCCTGTAATCCAGCTACTCGGGAGGCTGAGGCAGAATAGCTTGAACCCAGGAGGCGGAGGTTGTGGTGAGCTGAGATCACACCATTGCACTCCAGCCTGGGCAACAAGAGCAAAACTCTGTCTCAAACAACAACAACAACACAAACAACAAAGAATATCAAGAGGCCGGGCATGGTGGCTCACATCTGTAATCCCAGCACTTTGGGAGACTGAGGTGGGTGGATCACCTGAGGTCAGGAGTTCGAGACCAGCCTGGCCAACATGGAGAAACCTGGTCTCTACTAAAAATACAAAGTTAGCCGGGTGTGGTGGCACCCATCAGGGGAAACCTTGTCTCTCTTGCTCTCTTTTTTGTTGAGACAGGATTTCACTTTGTTGCTCAGGCTGGGCTGCAGTGGCATGATGTCGGCTCACTGCAACCTGCTGGGTTCAAGCGGTTTTCCTGCCTCAGCTTCCAGGGATTACAGGCATGCACCATCATGTCCAGCTAATTTTTTTGTATTTTTAGTAGTGATAATGGTTTCGCTATGTTGCCTAGGCTGACCTCAAACTCCTGGGCTCAAGTAATCTTCCCACTTTGGCCTCCCAAAGTGCTGGGACTACAGGTGTGAGGCACTGTGCTGAGCCTGAGTCTTAATACTTCCATTTCACAACAGAGATCCTTGGTTCAGTTTAGCCAACTCTGGTTCAAGAAGTCAAATAAGTGTACCTGTAAACTGACAAGAGAAGCAAACTACTAGTGCTGACAAGACTTTTATATCTAAAATTTTGGGGTTCTCATTCTGCTGTCTAGTATTTTGTAAATTCTTGCCTTTCTGACACAAGTATTTCACAAAGGGTATATGACTGAAGTAACTACTACCCCTGATCTAATAGCATCAGAAAGGGAAAAATTAGGCTGGGCATAACAGCTCATGATCTATAATCCTAGCACTTTGGGAGGCTGAGGCAGGTGGATCACCTGAGGTCAGGGGTTCAAGACCAGCCTGGCCAACTGGTGAAACCCTATCTCTACTAAAAATACAAAAATTAGCCAGGTGTGGTGGCATATGCCTCTAATCCCAGGTATTTGGGAGGCTGAGGCAGGAGAATGCTGAACTCAGGAGGCAGAGGTTGCAGTGAGCCTAGATCATGCCACTGCCCTCCAGCCTGGGCGACAGAGTCAGACTCCATCTCAAAAAAACAAACAAAAAAAAAGAGAATTAAATTAGCTAAAGTGATAGATAGGAATGATAGAAAACTAAAGTGATTAGAAAGCAGTTCTTGGCCGGGCGCGGTGGCTCAAGCCTGTAATCCCAGCACTTTGGGAGGCCAAGGCGGGTGGATCACGAGGTCAAGAGATAAGACCATCCTGGTCAACAAGGTGAAACCTCGTCTCTACTAAAAATACAAAAATTAGCTGGGCATGATGGTGCTTGCCTGTAGTCCCAGCTACTCGGGAGGCTGAGGCTGGAGAATTGCTTGAACCCAGGAGGCGGAGGTTGCGGTGAGCCGAGATCGTGCCATTGCACTCCAGTTTGGGCAACAACAGCGAAACTCAGTCTCAAAATAAAAAAAAAAAAGAAAGCAGTTCTTGGCCAGGCGCGGTGGCTCACGCCTATCATCCCAGCACTTTGCGAGGCCGAGGCAGGTGGATCACAAGGTCAAGAGATCGAGACCATCTTGGTCAACATGGTGAAACCCCATCTCTACTAAAAATACAAAAAAATTAGCTGGGCATGGTGGCGAATGCCTGTAGTCCCAGCTACTTAGGAGGCTGAGGCAGGAGAATTGCTTAAATCCAGGAGGTTGTGGTGAGCCGAGATCGCACCATTGCACTCCAGCCTGGGTAACAAGAGCGAAACTCCATCTCAAAAAAAGAAAGCAGTTCTGAACTTATGGACTGCTAAGGAAGAAAAGATGGCGTGAGCAATTATTCTAGGAGGGCAATAGAGTTAAAAGGTCTATGATTCAATGACAGGGGACACCAGATAGAATACAATTTTGAGAATGTAAGTGTTCCTGATGAGGCCAAAAAAAGCACCTAAGAAACCCATGTGGTTTCGTAGGGAGATATGGAGATAATTAGAGTATTCAGAAACTGGTCAGCAACTAGATTCAAAGGACTTGATTAATGAATCTGTTGTGAGCCTGTATCCTGGATGCACATTTGAGTCAATCAATGATCTGAATGAAGATTCAAATTGCAAATATAAAAGTAATGAGGGCTGGGCGCGGTGGCTCACGCCTGTAATCTCAGCACTTTGGGAGGCCGAGGCGGGCAGATCACGAGGTCAAGAGATCGAGACCATCCTTGCCATGATGAAACCCCCTCTCTACTAAAAATACAAAAATTAGCCGGGTGTAGTGGCACGCGCCTGTAGTCCCAGCTACTCGGGAGGCTGAGGTGGAAGAATCGCTTGAACCCAGAAGGCAGAGGTTGCAGTGAGCCGAGATTGCGCCACTGCACTCCAGCCTGGCGACAGAGCAAGACTCCGTCTCAAAAAAAAAAGTAATGAGATTTAATGAATATTTAACAGAATAAGATATAGAATGAATTTAATTCGACAAAGTCAAAGTTACCTATGAGACCCAAAGTTATCCATGAGCAACTGGATTAAAGAGAGGCACAGGGATAAGACAGGTGGAGTTAATGCTATTCTAACTCATGCTCCCCTGAGAGCACTTAGTTCTCAGTGTCACACTTTAAGAACAAACATAGAAAACACTCTGAAGAGGCCTGGTACAATGAATAGCCTGTTTCTCAGGCAGCAGTGCTGTAGGGAATGAAGACAAATAATCCCAGATTGTCAGCACAGTAAATGCTCAATATTTGCTGGATAAACTAACAAAAGTGAAGAAAGGGTAGGGGTAGGTGAAAAAGAGATAGGACATTAAAGTATTTCAAAGTCTGGCAAGGGAAATAGGTATTATGTTAGTCCCAGATGGCTTTGGGTAACAATGGGTACATGTCATAGGGAGGCTGTTCAGCTCAATACACTCAATACAAACAGAAGGTCAAAGACCCAAATGGGTTATGTGGGAAGGTGACGTGACACAATTTCAGCTAATGGTGAGTCACTCCTTTCAGTTCAAGATGGAGGACCCCTTGATGGATATATTATAGAAGTAATTCAAGCAGGGACTAGGGAGCTGGACTTCAGGGATATTCATGTTTTTTTCCAGCCTCAAAACCTAGGCTTCTGTAAACGTTTCCCTAATTAAGGTAACAATCACAATGATAAAATAAGTTGGTTGCCGGGCGCGGTGGCTCAAGCCTGTAATCCCAGCACTTTGGGAGGCCGAGGCGGGTGGATCACGAGGTCAAGAGATCGAGACCATCCTGGTCAACATGGTGAAACCCCGTCTCTACTAAAAATACAAAAAATTAGCTGGGCATGGTGGCGTGTGCCTGTAATCCCAGCGACTCAGGAGGCTGAGGCAGGAGAATTGCCTGAACCCGGGAGGCGGAGGTTGCAGTGAGCCGAGATCGCGCCATTGCACTCCAGCCTGGGTAACATGAGTGAAACTCCGTCTCAAAAAAAAAAAAAAAAAAAAAAAAAAAAAAAAAAGTTGGTTGACAGCAATGAAATCTATCAAATGGAATAGAGAACTTGATTGGATATAGATTCATCCTTAAACAGCTTTTATGAATGAATCAGAACTGAGTCTAAAATGGAAGTATACTTCGTTTCTTCCTGTTTTCTGCCAATTAAGACTGTAGTACTTGTGTAATTGAAAGTAAATGTTTCAGAGGCTGATATGAGTAGTAATAAAAACTCCAGTTTTGAATTTAGCTGGCTCTATGTGCATTATACTTTTTCTCTATTGCAATTCCTCTGTTTTGGTAAATTGGCTGTATCTGGGCAGCAGGTGATTCAACATAAACCCACTAAAAAACAAAAGAAAAGTAAATGTTTCTAAAAGAAACCAAATACATACACAATTTTCTTTTGTAATTCCAGGGGTGTCATAAAACCAGTGGGCATCTTTTACATCTTGTGCAGTCAATTGTACTTGTTTGGTGGATTTGGGTGCATCCATAACAGGTTCATTTTCCATGTCAAAGGCAAGTGAATCAGCATCAAACTCAAAGGGAACTTTATCCTTCAAGGGTGCTTTATCCTTCTGTTTTTCTGAATATAAGAATGTCCTTCCAACTCTTCCTAGAACAAGTTATATTAAGGTTATTAGTCACTCTTTTAATACTTTTGACTCCAGACAGAATTTTTATGTTTCCCTCAAACAAGTTACTAGGATTATAGTATATAAAAGTGAGACTACAATGACACTTTTGCTTTTTTTTTTTCCAAATGCAGTGGGAGTCAGACTCTTGAAATAATCAAGGGTGTGGCTGGCTGTGTACTTGGAGTGGTGGGGGCGAGGGTGTGTGGAAATCAAACTGTTTTAAAGAAAGGCTAAAAAGATGTACCAAGAAAAGACAGACAACCTAATCTAAAGCTGCCGCATAGAGTCAAAACTTTACTACCTGTACTGCTCTGGGTTTCTAAACAGTACCCTTACCGCTAAAGGGCCTCTTTGTTGCAGAATAAGGCTGGCAGTCTCTCCCCACAAAAACTGGCTCGCCTCAGACAGCTGTATTTCAGGTTGCTTAACAAAGGATTTTAGCATAGTACCAACAAGGGTTTTCCCACAGAGGATGCTTACCTACGACATAACCATGTTTTTTCAGGAAATTAATCTGATTTTGTTCTTGCTCACTAAGATTGTCTTCAGCTTGAGTTGAATTGTTTTTAAGTCTTTGTTGCCTTTTAAACATTCTGTAAGGAGTTGGGTTGCAAATAGGAAACTTCAGAAGGTTTAATGTAGTACCTGAAATACACAGAATAAATACATCTTTAGAAAACGGAATGGGGGTTAGAAAATGAACATTTTTGAGGCTCTACACTGTGTTGGTTACTGTAATAAAATATAAAATTACTGCCACTTTACAAATGAGGAAATAGGTTAAGAGACTGGCTCACAAGGTTCAAACCAGAATTTGAATCCAAAATCTGCAGGCCCAATTTCTTTCCATTTTTATTACATTACCATCCAGTATAAAAGTAATTCTGTGTAAAATTCAAAGTGCAAGACAGAAAAGAACGAAACTCTGGTTTCAAGGGAACAAATGGTGCAGTCAACTTTTGTCAACTTAAATTTAGACCTGGTCTGGCATGGTGGCCCACCCTGTAATCCCAGCACTTTGGGAGGCCCAGGCGGGTGAGTCACTTGAGGTCAGGAGTTCAAGGCCATCCTCGCTAACACGGTGAAACCCTGCCTCTACTAAAAATACAAAAAACTAGCCAGGTGTGGTGGTGTGCCCCTGTAGGCCCAGCTACTTGGGGAGAATCGTTTGAACCTGGGAGGTGGGAGTTGCTGTGAGCAGAGATCACGCCACTGCACTCCAGCCTCGGCGACAGAGTGAGACTCGGTCTCAAAAAACAAAAACAAAAACAAACAAAAAAATTTAAACCATAGAAGGACTCGTTTTCCAATTACAGATTACAGAAGTTTCTTTCTTTCTTGTTTTTGAGACAGTCTTATTGTTTCCCAGGCTGGAGTGCAGTGGTGCGATCTCGGTTCAGCCTCCCAGGTTCAAGTGATTCTTGTCTCAGCCTCCTGAGTAGCTGGGATTACAGGCACCAACTATCAAGCCTGGTATATTTTTAGTGGAGACGAGGATTTCACCATGTTGGCTACGCTGGTCTGGAACTCCTGACCTCAGGTGATCTGCCCACCTCGGCCTCCCAAAGTGTTGGGATTACAAGTGTGAGGCACTGCACCTGGCCACAGAAGTTTCTTAAAGTCACAAGGCTGATACTTCTGTTTTCTGGGGTCTCACTCTGTTGTCCAGGCAGGATTGGAGTGAGATGGCCCAATTAGGGCTTACTGCCGCCTCGACCTTCTGGGCTTAGGTGATTCTCCTACCTCAGCTTCCTAAGTAGCTGGAACTACAGGCATGCGCCAACAAGCCTGGCTAATTTTTGCATTTTTAGTAGAGACAGGGTTTTACCACGTTGCCCAGGCTGGTCTTGAACTCCTGAGCTCAAGCAATCTACCTGCCTTGGCCTCCCAGAGTACTAGAATTACAGATGTGAGCCACTGAGCCTGGGGAAGCCACACATCATTGCACTAATGGGCTGGGTGTCGTGGCTCACACCTGTAATCCTAGTACTTTGGGAGGACAAGGTGGGCAAATCACTTGAGGTTAGGAGTTGGACACCTGCCTAGCCAACATGGTGAAACTCCATCTCTACTAAAAATACAAAAATTAGCTGGGTATGGTGGTGCCTACCTGTAATTCCAGCACTTTGGGAGGCCAAGGCAGGCAGATCACCTGAGGTCAGGAGTTCTAGATCAGCCTGGGTAACATGGTGAAACCCCATTTCTACTAAAAATAAGAAAATTAGGCTGGGTGTGGTGGCTCACACCTGTGAATCCAACACTTTGGGAGGCCGAGATGGGGGGGGGAATCACGAGGTCGGGAGTTCAAGACCAGCCTGACCAACATGGTGAAACCCTGTCTCTACTAAAAATACAAAACTTAGCCGGGTGTGGTGGTGCATGCCTGTAATCCCAGCTACTTGGGAGGCTGAGGCAGGAGAATCACTTGAACCCAGGAGGCGGTGGTTGCAGCGAGCTGAGATCATGCCACTGCACTCCAGCCTGGGCGAGAGTGAGACTCCGTCTCAAAAACAAACCAAAATCATAAATGTCATTAACGAATTACTCACATGTTGTACGTGTATAGTACACTGGTTTCATATGAATAAACTCAAGATGTGAACAGTAAGATTGAGGGGTGGAGAGAGGTTCAGACAGTAAAAAGAACGCACACTTTCTAGAACAACATACAAAGTAGTCACAAAGCAAATCTCCTGAACAGGAACTTTCCATTTCCTTGCTTTGTTCCCTGGTGTATCTCCAGCGCCTAGTGACTGGGGACAGAGAAGTGCTCCATAATCACTTCTGTTAGAAAATTACAACAACACATCCTCAATTTTTCCTAGCAGTAAGCTGACACAGAAGAGAGGTGTGACCAGAGTGGGGAGAGAATTTTAAAGGGAAGGGTTCAGGCAGCGTAGTGGACATTAAGGGAGGATGTACTCGGTGCCTCGGCCAGGACCAGACGTCTACCTTGTCAGAAAACGAAGAGGGCGAGCCTCCTCAGACCCACCTGGCCAAGGGGAGATGGTGGCCCTGTCGATGGCCTCGGCGCCCTTGGCGGTGCAGTAATCGGACTCCAGGAGTGTGTTAAAGAGAGTGGATTTGCCGGCGTTGGTGGCGCCCACCAAGTAAACGTCCCCACGGTATCGCCAGGAGCTCTGAAGGGCAGAGATCAACTCTTCCACTCCATAGCCGGTCTTGGCGCTGATCAGCCGCACGTCCCTAACCATAGTGCGGGACCAGTCCGACGGATTCGAATTCTCCCGGTCCTGTGGCTCGTCCTTGATGGGGGGCTGTGGCCCTCGGTGGCCAGGGGCCAGCAGCAGTCCGGCGCGGGCACACTCGTCCCAGAGTCGCTCCCGCAGCCTCTGCCTGTAGCCAGCAGCATCCTGGGGCAGGAGGTCCAGTTTGTTTCCCAGCACGATCAGCTGCTTGGATCCCACCAGCGCGGGCAAGTGGGGCAGCAGGGCGTCGGGCAGGTCGAGCAGGTCCACCATGTAGAGCACTAGGGAGGGCCCCGGCCGCCGCAGAGCCGCGCTCACCAGCTCCAGGTACTGGCCGCGGCTCACCTGCAGGTGCAGAGCGCGCCGGTGGTGCACTAGCAGCCAGCAGCGCTGGCACACGGTCCGCGCCAGCCCGTCGTCTGCCTCCGCCGCGCGGAGGAACTTCTCGTGGGGCAGGTAGCCTGGCATGCTGGGGTCCTGGCAGTGCAGCTCTGCCCCGCAGCCCGAGCAGTTCACGCCGCTGGGCTGCACTGCCAGGTCCGGGTGCCTCACAACCCGGTGCTCCCGGAGCCTGGCCCGTAGGTTTTGCTGTCGCCGCTCCTCTCGCCGCTGCTGCCTCTGTTTTTCCTCCTCCTCCTGCTGCTGCTGGAGCTCCCGCAGCTGCTCTTTGGGGGTGGGTTCCGGCTCCGGCTCGAGGAGGTACTCTGGGAAGAGAAAATGCTCCTGCACGTCAGCACTTTCTCCGAAGCCCTCCGTGTCCACGGAGTTATGAGGAATCTCGCGTCCCAGCCTCGATGAGCGCCGGAAGGAGGAGGCAGCAGGGCACCTCCTCCCCAGGAACGGCTCCGGGAGGCCATGGCGCGCTGCCGTGGGAACGGATCCACGCAGGAAAGGGCTCAACAGCCTGAACATTAGGCGCGCCGGCAGCATGAGGAAGTAGCTCTAGGCGGAGGGGCGGAGCCACAAGCTCGCGCGCGCACTAGGGCCCGAGGCGCGCGAGACCCGAGACCAAAGCGCTTGGGTACTTGGGAGGTGTCCTGGTTCTTCTCCTGGCTAATCCCTTGTGTTCTCGCGATTAAAGCTCTGAGACTGAGAACCTACTTAAAGCTGCGGCAAAGGGCCCGGAGGATTAAGTTAGGTGGGCAGAAGAGGTCTGCCTGTGCTTTGGGCTTTTCACTTTCAAGCTTCTTTAACGCCTCACTGCTATCACAAGCAGTCCTTAATAAATCACATTTAAAAAGGGTCTTCCGGCCGGGCGCGTGGCTCACGTCAGCACTTGGAAAGGCCGAGGCGGGGGGGGGTGGGGGCATCACCTGAGGTTAGCAGTTCGAGACCAGCCTGGCTAACATGGTCATAGCCCTGTCTCTACTAAAAATACAAAAATTAGCTGGACATGGTGGCGCGCGCCTGTAATCCCAGCTACTTGGGAGGCAGAGGCAGGAGAATCGCTTGAACCCGGGAGGCGGAAGTTGCAGTGAGCGGAGATCACTCCACTGCACTGCAGCCTGGGCAACAGATCGAGACTCAGTTTCAAAAATTAAATAAATAAATAAAAATAAAACATAGCTTCATGTTGTTTTGATCCTTATAAAGGCAAATAAATTGAGCATCCTAATGTCGCGGATTCACATAACGAATACTTTTCATTAGTAAGCATACTTGATTTTGTTTTCAGGTGTCGTTATTTGTGCAACAGCATTGAAAAACAAGCAGAAATAAAACATTCACGGGACGAGTCCGACCGCAAATTGCGGGAGCTCTCCTCTCAATCAGCCACCGACAGCGGCGGCACACAATTTGCGCGTCGGCAACTCTAACGCCAGCCCCAGCGCGCCCTACACTTTGCGCAGGCGCAGATCCTAACTTTGGCGTTCTTGTGGGCGGCCTTTGGTGTGAGACGCATAGTATTCTGGGAACGCTGGAGACGGAAGTTACTTCGTCCCTAGCTCCAGGCGTTGGTGGCTTCTGTGCGCTTTTTTGTCTTTTTGGTTTCTAGAGTTAGGAACTCGGGAATCGTTCGGCAGTATGTACGACGCGGATGAGGGTAGGTGAACACTGAAAACACACGCCATGGCTGTCCATTTAAGCCGGGAAGCGTGGGGAAGTGGTCGGATGGAGGATTTGGGGCCTTCCCACGCGCGGGCCGCACAGTCCCCCAGCCTTGTTACCATACCTTCCAGGCCCTAGGGAGGGGCGGAGCGTGCAGGGAACTTAGCATTAATGTTGCCGGCTAGGTTCACTGCTGTTCTCAGCCCTTTCTCGTTTCTTTTGATCTTATCCCTGCCTCCTGTATTGTAGCGTGCAGAACCGTAAGATAAATTCCGTTGTTTTGAATTTGTCTGAAGCAAAGGGCACCCTTTAAAAATTATCCTAAAAGCCGCAGTCGACTTACCGAATAGCTCAATTGATGTCAGCATGTGCAAGGCAGTGCGGAAGGCCCTGGAAATACACTGGGACAAAGAATATTGGAGAAGGCGGGTGGGAGGCGAAACTCGGTTTAATCTCACATTTCTTCATGCTTTTTGTAAGTGAAATTGTCTTAAAGGATGGCTTTTAAACTTCTTGTCACAATGCCACAGTTCTCAGATGATATATATTCTGCACAGGACCAATGTATAGCTTTTTCTTTGCGCATATACAATTCTTAGTAGTGGCCGAGTGCAGTGGCTCACCCTGGCACTTTGGGAGGCCGAAGCGCGCCGATCGCTTGAGACCAGCCTGACCAACATGGGGGAAATCCTGTATCTACTAAAAATAGAAAAATTAGCTGAGTGTGGTGGCGTGCGCCTGGATTCCCAGCTACTCAGGAGGCTGAGACCGGAGGATCGCTTGAGCCCAAGAGGCGGAGGTTGCAGTGAGCCGAGATTGCGCCACTGCACTCCAGCCTGAGTGACACCCGTCTCAAAAAAAAAAAACAAACAAAAAAACTTAGTCGAGTCTAGTGTATTTTCGTAGCTGCCTTTTCCGTAGCTGTCCTTTCGGTAGCTGCCCTTTCCATTCTCCGTATCTACTAATTCAAACCTTATTTTCTTCTAGCTCTTAATTCTGTGGCCACACCTTACATCTCTATTTCCTCAGCAACTTCTGATAAATTAGATGGAAAAAATTGAAGCAAAAGCTTAAACTTTTTTTTTTTCTTTTGAGACTTAGTCTAGCTCTAGGCTGGAGTGCAGTGGCACGATCTTGGCTATCTGCAACCTCCACCTCCTGGGTTCAAGCGATTCTCCTGCCTCAGCCCCCCGAGTAGCTGGGATTACAGGTGCCTGCCACCATGCCCAGTTTATTTTTGTGTTTTTAGTAGAAGAGAGAGGTTTCACTCTGTTGGCCAGGCTGGTCTAATACTCCTGATCTTGTGATCTGCCCACCTCAGCGTCCTAAAGTGCTGGGATTACAAGTGTGAGCTACCTCGCCTTGCCTCTTTTTTGGTGTGTGTGTGTGTTTCTTTCTTTCTTTTTTTTTTTTAAGAGATGGGGTCTAGCCATGTTGCCCAGGCTGGTCTCAAACTCCTGATCTCAAGCCATTCGCCTGCCTTGAGCTCCCAAAACCCAGGGATTACAGGCGTAAGCCACAGTGCCTGCCCAAAAGCTTAAATTTTAAAGCTGTTTAAACTTCTTTCTCATTAATATCTTGTGTTCCAGAAATTTATTAGCATCATCATATTCCCTGTTAACTACTATCTCAGTAGAAGAAAAATAGAAAAAAAGATTTTTTAAAGCGTAATTTTTGGCTAGGTAATATATTTTCATAGCTCACAAACCAGAAAATTTAAAAAGGTTAAAATGCAGTGGCTACTTTAACAATTGAGACCAGCCTGGGCAACATGGGAGATCCCCTCTCTGTAAGAAATAGGAAAATTAGCTGGAGTGTGGTGGTGCTCACCTATAGTCCCAGCTACTTGGGTGGCTGAGGCAGGAGGATCACTTGAGTCTGGGAAGCTGACCCTGCTGTAAGTTGAGGACAAAGTGAGACCCTGTCTCCAAAAAAAAAAAAAAGTTAAAGTGTTAGGTCTTCTTACCTACCATCTGCCCAGTTTGAACTCTCCACAGTAGGTAACTACTGTTATAATAGGTTCTTATCACTCCACAGTTTCTTTTTGTTTTTTGAGAGTATTGCTCTGTTACCCAGGCTTGAGTGCAGCAGCACAATCTTGGCTTACTAACCATCGCCTCCCTGGTTCAATCAGTTCTCCTGTCTCAGCCTCCCAAGTAGCTGGGATTACAGGCATGCACCACCATGCCCAGCTAATTTTTGTACTTTTAGTAGAGATGGGGTTTCTTCTTGTTGGTTAGGCTGATCTCAAACTCCTGACCTCAGTGATTCACCTGCCTCGGCCTCCCAAATTGCTGGGATTACAGGTCTGAGCCATTGCTCCCAGCCTCCACAGTTTCTTTATGCATATTTAAGCAAATATAAATGGGATTGTTTTCTCTTTTTTTAAGGACAGAAGGTAACATTTACACTTTTCTCCACTTTTAGATTTTGCTTAATGGAGATGTTCTTGTCAGTACACACAGAGCATCACCTGCTGCCGCCCCTGCCCCCACCCCCAGCTACCCAGTTTGTGTGGATGTAATATAACTAGTCTCTTGATGGATATTTGATTAGATTTATTTCTAGACTTTTTCTGTTAAGTGATGAAAGTGAATAATCTTGTACATATAATTTGCCCAAATATGCCTGTAGGATACATTCCTACATATAAAATTGTCAGGTCAAATGGTACGCACCTTTAAAACATTTTGCCAAATGGTGCCAAGTGACCACCACAGTGGTGATTGTTCTAATTTTGTATTCTTACTAGTCATGTATAACGATCCTGTGGAAAGTAAAGAGAGTTTATCGAGTTGCTTTAGCAGTGAACCTACATTTTATTCATGCCCATGTCCTCTAAAATGTTTGTTAGGTATGTCCTCATCAGTTTTTAGCGACTCCTTTTCAGCTGGCTTCTTTCTAAAGTGTCAGATTTCTGTCATCCATATGGAAACAAGTTAAACTCTTTTTTTTGAGACGGAGTTTCCCTCTTGTTGCCCAGGCTGGAGTGTAATGGCGCGATCTTGGCTCGATGTGATCTCGGTTCACCGCAACCTCCACCTCCCGGGTTCAAGTGATTACTCCTGCTTCAGTCTCCCGAGGAGCTGGGATTAGGGGCATGTGCCACCACGCCCAGCTAAATTTTTTTGTGTTTTTTTTTTTTTTTAGTAGAGACGGGGCTTCTCCATGTTGGTCAGGCTGGTCTTGAACTCCTGACCTCAGGGGATCCACCCATGTTGGCCTCCCAAAGTGCTGGGATTACAGGCGTGAGACACTGCGTCCTGCCTCAGAAAAAATTTGATGAATGGATGAATAAATGAGACTCCTTTATGGGTTCATTTTCTTTCATATGACTCTTAAACAAAAGTGTTCCCAAATACCCTGCCTTCAGTCTCCCTTCTCTGTGTAAAATCTCCTTTTTCTCTTGCTCATTTATTAATGATTCCAACTCCATACTTTTTTTTCAAAGTTTAAAATGTTTATTGACACATAATAGATATACGTGTTATGTGTCATTGTGTATCTATTATGTGTCACATGTTCTTTGTCTATAATTTAGACTGTTCATTTGAGTTTATATTCATACACATGTGTCTACTAGAAGTATTTGAAGGGGTATGTGATTTACAGATATCTCTAAAGCTGACTTAATCATGACCTCTTCTCCTTCTACCATTTTACTTGCTTCTCCTGTGTGGCAGTGATACTAGCTTTTAATCTCTCATCAAAGCTAGAAATCTCTGAGCTATCGTAGTTAGTTTTGTCATTCTTACCCTTTCCCCATGTGTAAGGATTAATAATTTCAGTCCATTCAAGAAGGATGTATTAAAAATTTCTTTTGTATATGTATCAGATTTTGAACCCAAAGCTCTTAGGTTTTACAGGCTATATTTGTGTACATTAGAATAAACCCCAAAAATACAGCACACTTATTCTTTCACATAAGAAGATTGGACTAATATTGGAGGACCAATGCACACTGATTTTTTTGAATGCATAAATTACTAT